GTGTTGTGTGCTCCTCATTCCTACTGTTCTATAACCGGGACTGCAACACAGACATTTCCCCACTATGGACAAATAAAGAATCTCTTAATCTCTAACATATCTCTATTTTTACAATGAATAACCGGATAATTGTTGTGATCTGCGGTTTCCATCTAAACTCCCACACTCTCTCATCCTCTTAGGTATTTCCAGCATCCGTTTAGCCTGCCTTGCGTCTCCGTGGCAACAGCACAGGAAGCTGTAGGTGAATGCGTGAAGTCCTGATGGAGCAGCAGGAAACGCCAAAATGTCCTCTGCAGTCATAGGACACCATTTAACATGAGCAAAGTCACACTGAGAATAACACGGAAGCTGCTGGCCACAAATTACAATGCATGATGAATAAAGGCTTGCGTTTGAGCGTTAGACAATAATAGAATTTAGACATACACGTGAAGCTCAGAAAATTGGAACATTGTTAAAAATGTAGTTGCAAAAGAGATATATCACGCCTTTATTGTTATGTAAAATATTTGTCTGCACATATCAACATTAGAGCTACACATTAAAAGACAAATGAACGCTCTAAATAAAGGAGAATTTTTTGATAATGGTTTGTTTTCCATAATTGTAACGAATATATACCGCCTTTCACAGAGCGCTTTGTGACTCTGGTCTGTGAAAGGCGGTATATAAATGAAGATTACTTAATTACTTACAACAAAGGCTTTAGGTGGAACCAACAAAAACAAATTTTTTTCAAGTTTCACCTGTCTGTAGGATCTTTTCAATCTTCCATTTTGTCTGAAACCTAAAACCTTGAATTTAGGTCGTAATATTGTCCTTGGCAATGTTTAAGTTCAGGCTGATTTATTTAGGTATGCGCATTTGACTAATTCGTGGCACGGTGGCTGAGTGGATAGCACTCTCGCCTCTCAGCAAGAAGGTCCTGGGTTCGAATCCCGGTTGGACCAGGGCCTTTCTGGAGTGGAGTTTGCATGTTCTCCCCGTGTCTGTGTAGGTTTCCTCCGGGTACTCCGGTTTCCCCTACCACTAAAAATATGTACAATAGGTCTGGCATGTGCCTCCTGTACTGGAGACTCCACTCCAAAAAATCACAATTGTAAACCGCTTTGAGACTCCGATGTGCAGTGAAAAGGCGGTATATAAATAAAAGATTACGATTACTTACTAATTCGAAGCATTTTTTAACTTGCATAAGTGCATAAGCACTGTTTTTAGGTTTTATTGTCTGTCTTTTTATTGCGTGTGAAGCACTTTAGGTTACACTACATGAATGGTGCTTTATGAATACATTTGATTGATTGATTGAATACATGTTGCATAATAAACAGCCAAATATGTCAACAAGAGCCAACATAACTAAATCTGATGATGTATCCTCAAATCCATTACAAAGTCTTTCACATGAATTAAAAGAAAACTCAATAAAAAGGTTGCCCAAAGATTTACATCTCGAGATTGATTTGGTTGGACTGTTCACGGCTAAATATAATGCATCTTATCAAGTCAATGCTTTGGCTCACACACTTTGTAGTTTCATGCTTGATAAAACAGACATTTCTTGTTTTGTCTTTGCCGCATCAGTTACGAACGATCGCACAATAGAAAGAACTTTAGAGAAGCTTGTACAAAGTCTTCCAACATAATCTAAATGTGAACCCGCTGTGAGCCGCAGCAGTGACAGAGGCAGGGCTTGTCACAAAGTTTATGTGGGAAAACGCAGAGATGAGACTTTACTTAGAGACAGAGGCTGTGGAGTGAATCACAGGCTTCTTCTGAGGCGCCTCGGGGGAGGAATGATATATTCAATTTGGGTTAAAAGAATGCATTTAAAGACGAAACACTCCAGCAGCTACAGAGCGTGTGGATGAGAGGACTAAGGCTTCTGCATGTAACCAACATCCTCTACAGACCCAAGCCGCAAACTAAAGTTAAAAACAGTCACTAAGAAATAAGCGTTGGATTTGATATCTGATATAAATCTGTTACACTTCATTTACTTTTTCAATTAAATCCAACACTTTGTCTAAGAGTTTTGTGTAGGTTTCTACTTTTTACTTTCCAAGACTCTAAGACTGAAACATAGAATGCAGAATTTGTAAATAGTGTGGCATTGAGTAAATATAAATAATGTCAATAAACAATGTCGATAATCTAAAATCAACATTCGTCTGATTTAACTCCAGACAGTAAGAGAAACACACAATCATTAATTTACTGAGTCCAGGTTCTGAATATGTACAACAACGCAAAGGAAGGTTTCTCATCCATCGTCTGTACTTCTCAGCAGGTTTTCCAGATGTTTCGTCCTCAATCCAAAGAACTTTTTCAAGGAAATGAAATCTCAGACCGCGAGTTGGAGATTTTTAACCTATGGGTGTAGTTAGACCTCCAACGCGCAGTCTGAGATTTCATTCCCCTTGAATGAGTTCTTTGGATTAAGGATGAAATGTCGGGAAAACCTGCTGAGAAGAACAGATGATGGATGAGAAACGACAGAGCTTACACAAACTTATGTACAACAACTGTAGACTTTTGGTAAATTCCCACATTTTAAGAATGAGTAGATAGTAAGTTGTACTCACGACTTAGTTTATCTGCTTATTGGTTCCCAATTTGTCTTTGATGTGGATCATTATCAAAGTGCAACGACAAATGTGCATCTATAGTTTAATACTTTTACTATAGTTTAATACTTTTAGCAGGATACAGACAAAAGGGGCAGGCAGACCGCATCAGCCTGGGAACATAACAGAGATAAACCTCACTTCAGGCCTACTGTGGTTTCCTCAAAATAAAATGCATCATCCCCAGAAAAAAAAGAGGTATTGAACGGGCATGATGTTGTGGAGGTAAGCATGGGTTCTACTTTATTTTACTATAAATAAAAATAAAGTAGTATATTCAGAAGTGCAAGACAGTTTCTCCTCGGTTTGACAAAGAAACATCATGAATGTTTTGAGCTGTAATTGTGACAGAGTCAGTATAGATTCTGTTCTTCAGGTCTCAACTGAAGATGACCAGAACACTTTGGTGCAACTCTAAACCTTGAGTTTTGACAATATTATTGTTTCAATGCCTACACAATCAATGAAAATATGTCACCCTGAATTAGACAATCAATCGCACTCCATGCATTTCTCTTGAGCGTAAGAATAGTCGTGATCGTTAGTAACGCATCAATCCAAAATGTTTCAATATTGAGACCCTGACTTCATTCATGTGTGAACAAACAATATCAATGGAAAACGAAGAAGGGACTGGAACTCTTTTTACTTTGATCCATTCAAAACAACCGACACTGTCCAAACGTAGCCAACGGTAATTTTTTTTCTATCAATTGTTACACAATACAATACAATACAATACAATTTATTCTTGTATAGCCCTAGGTCACAACAGCATTATCTCAGAGACTTAACAAAACCATTGAAATCACCAACACAGGTCAGAGAATCAACAGTTAAAACACATGGAGAATATAAAGCACACACAGAAGAAAATGTCCATACATGTTGTAGAATGCTAAAGTGTCCTGATCATCACCAATCCTTTCTGTTGGACACTAACTGTCCAACAAGACCCTCCTGCATCCACAACCTTCAATTAACAGAAATAAATTAACTTTTTTAGTACATAATATATATACCAACATTACAGACATTCCCCTTTTAGGACTTTTTTTTTTTTTTTTACAGTTTATGCAATAATTTGCCATAAGTGATTGGTGTATCATATTGTGATGAAAATGGCAAACATCTTCACACTATTGAAAAAAAATGGAACCAATGATAAATATATTATATTATAAAATCTATTGCTACATCCATTCGTTTTTGGGTTTTTTTCAACAATAAAACATTATAATAAATATTATCACAGGTCTAGATCATAGACTATACATCAGAATCAGAATTGTTTTCGTTGCCATGTAAGTAACAGGAAGTAACAGACTAGGATAATGCTTTGGCTCAGTGCAACAGTCAAAGGAGAGAGGTAAAGAATACAGCGGGACAATGCTATCCTCCTGCTCAAGCACAAAAGGGAAGTGTTCATTGACAGTTTTGTTCCAACTCACTTTGCCTCCTATTGATTCACATTAACAAGGAAACTCCACTGCTTTTATTGTGATATTATCTCAAATCCAGATATGAGCCCTAACAACTGACACATCAGGAGTGGGGACAGACCGGTATGGTTCCAGACTGGCGCTTTGGTAACTAGGCTGTTGCTAGTAAAAAATAAATTGGGCTCAAAATTTCTGCTGAAATGGCCTTTTCAATCTAGCTCCAATCGGCCTCTTCTGTGTTAAGGCAAAAAATATGGGCGACGGCAGCACTTGGTCAGTCCACTCCTAATATACAGTTGTGGTCTAGATGCCAGTACTGTAGAGCTGCAACTAACGATTATTTTGTAATCGATTATTTTTACAATTAATCGAGTAATCGCTTGGCTGTGAATTGTGTAGAAAAAATAAATTTTTTCATCACAAAAAGCTAAAGTGGCAACACTCGAGGACGTATTGATGGCGTAAACTTAAAGTAAATGTTTGTAACAGGCTCTTTGTGATAATTCTGCTCTGATTGGATGAGACAGACAGATATTCATGAAATTATAAAAACAAAGTCGGTTTTAATCAAAAATACTACATTTTCATGTCATTTTTGCTCTGTTTGAGTCTGTGTGAACCAGAAAACGATTAATCGATTACTAAAATAGTTGTCAACTATTTCAATAATCGATTAGTCGTCGATTAATCGATTAATTGTTTCAGCCCTACAGTACTGATATATATTTGTGCATCCCTAGGTTTAATCAGTGGTATAATTGTCATCAATGTGTAGCTTATATCGTTACCCTCTCTGTAATTGCAATGCTGTAAAAAACACCATACAATCTGCAAACTGTTTAAGTCGATATATGCAGGCCTTTGTTCTTTGACATGGCTGACAGTCATGCTTCAAAGCAAGTCCATGATGGAGGCAGCAGGTTCCCGTTCAGACAAAGACATTTTCCCCCATAGAGGCTTTGGGCCCTCCTCTGCAGCGTGGAGTCTGTGTGTGGTACTTTATGTGGGGGTTGGGCAGCTGCAGACAGATGTGCACAACCTCCGCACTGCCACTACGTTTAGATATGAAGGACGAGCCGCTGGAAAATGACCTCATCCAGAACAGAGTCAACCACAAGGACGTATGAAGGCCGACTGTCAAGCCCTGGTGTGGCCCACTGTGGGGAGGTTGAGGACACTGCATGTTTGGAGCTATAACCCTAGAGCTGCTGCATAAAAGACGGCGTTATAACTGATATGGGTCTAAAGCACATACTGGAAAACACAGACAGGCCATTTGCGTTTGAACAAAGCTTATGAACTCCACAAGAAAGTAAAACGATAATAATAATAATAACTTAAAGGAGCTATACCTGTTTCTGCAAGGTTTTTTTCAGTTTGAATGTTTAGCTCCGCCCCTCCAACTCGCTCACAGGCTTCTCATTTCCCCTGCGCTCTCCTCCCACGCAGCCATCTAGCTTTATTTGCGATCTGATACGTATGCTAACATTAGCATTAGCGCAACCTCTTGTAAGCTGTACAACAATCACTGATGAAATGGTACAAAAGCAACGCACTGTTAACAAAATATATAAATAAAAGATTACAGCTAGTTCCGCGTCCAAATGTAGTCCGAGGCGGTCCGCACCCGCAGGTCTCTCTGTTCACCCGGGCTTGATTTTGTCACACAAGCTGAATCAATGAGCTCAAGTTTTCAATTAAATTACGTATTCTAATGCAACTTGTATGTAGTAATACGCATTTTTATGAACTCATTATAAAATAAATCAGATATAGTAGTAACCACAGTAATCCCAGAGTAAGTACAGGGCCAAAACCGGTCTTCACTACTATTATGGAATATAAAGAAGATATAAAATCAAAATCTGCATCCTGAAGAAATTAGAAGATCGGTGTATTGTGGTAAAGGAAATTTTGGCAATAGAAGTTAGAACAAGCAAACAAAGTTTAGCTAAACCTTTTATTTTGTCGCACAGGGGGGACCTTTCCAAGCCATTTGCCACTAAGAAAAACACCTAACACATATTTAAAAACAAAAACAAAGATTTAAACGCGCATATTTTCGACATGGATATCACACGCACCAATATCGCGATAACGATATTTTTTCGATTAGTTCTCATGATTGAAAGTTAACCTGAAAATTCTAGAAAGGACCTTTAAAGATTCCTTTCCTAGCATTTCTCTCGGGGTCTATAACCACTTGTTACCATGAAGACGCTACTCATTTGCTTGGAATGTACCTAGAGTGTTGAAACATTGAAACTGCATTTATATGAACCCTCCAACAGTTGAGTAAGTGGACAGCAGTAAACAGGCAACACTGTGGACTCCCCGGGATATCCGACATCGGTATAAGGTGTAATAATACAAACAGAAGCCAAGCAGATGTTGAAATCACCTTGACAACAAACAACAGGGCCCCATGTGCACAATGTGACTCCCATAAGGATGAGACAAACAAACAGCTCATAAGTAGAGGAGCCGCACACATTAGCATTAGAGTATTTTTAGAAGGAAGTCAATGTGGGAACAGTGACAGTGGTGGTGTGTGCATTTTCTTTACAGCAGCAAAACTAGTTGCAAAAGCTAGTCTTATGCAATCAGAGTTCCATCCATCCATCCATTTTCTTCCCCTGAATCCATTTCTGGGTCGGGGGGGGTGGTAGTCAGAGCTGCACCCAGTACACAGAGCACCAGCCCCTCACTGATCCTCCTGCAGGTGCCGAGTCCACAGGAGCTGAGATCTTTCAGTTGGGGATTCAGGCAAAGTGGGGTTAAGTGTCTTGCCCAAGGACACAACGACAGCAGACATCAGTGGGAGTCGTGAAGTAGGTCTTGTGGTGGGCTCGAACCCACAACCCTCAGGCTCAAAGGCCAATGCTCTACCAACTGAGCCACTGTCGCAATCAGAGATAAAAAATAATAAGCAGCTATAGTCAGTAGAGCAGGGGTCTCCAACCTTTATCAATCGGAGAGCTACTTTTATACAAACAAACAGGCAGAGAGCTACTCCTTTTTGCAGTCGTAATAAAAGTTGATCTAATAATTATGACCAAACTCAGAGAACACATATAAAATACACAATGATACTGTATAACCCTTATTATACTTTTAATAGATATGAAATGGGTCAAAAAGTATTTGTTGAAGTGTAATTGTTAAATTCTAATTCCTTTGGCGAGCTACCTGTAAGGGGCTGGCGAGCTACTGGTGGCTCCCGAGCTACAGGTTGGAGACCCCTGCAGTAGAGGTTGACGTAAAACTATTTCATTTTAATAAATCATACCAAGTCTTTCAAATGAAAATACAACCCAAAAAGGTTTAAAATGTGTAGTGAAATAATAAAATATGATGACACGAGCATAGTAACTGTTGCATATGGACGTGCTGACGCAAAACGCAGCCAGTGCTATGGAAAACATATGTCAAACTTTATTTGAATGCAGATGAAAACATGCTCCATTGTTGAGGCACCAGTCGACTGAAGCCAATGTGAGTTTGAAGGCTACTGAATAGGAATCTATGGTGTTTCTAAAGATGAATGACTGAGAAGCTTTGCGGAAGACAGAAGGAAGAACCACACCTACACACATGCATACGAACCAGGAAGCCAAGAAAAGTGCTTTTAGAAGAAGGTCCTTTATTCGTCCCACAATGGGGAAATTTCAGTTTGATGCATACACATATAGCACATACACATACACATCAAGGCATGCAGCGAACATCGTATCCGCGCTCCTTATAGGCTAAGTGGGTTAAGTATCTTGCCCAAGGACACAACAACAGCAGGCATCAGTGGGAGTCGATGGAGAAGGTCCCGTGGTGGGCTCGAACCCATGACCTTTGGGCCCAAAGGTCAATGCTCTACCAACTGAGCTACTGTCGCCCCACTTTTTTATCCAGTACGGGTGGGTAAAGAAGAGTTGGCTCGCAGAGATGGAGACTCTCAATTCGGTTTTGAATCACACGTAAATCGCTGTTTTTAGAGACTTACAGCTCGACTTGGACTCGTCCCCTAAAGACGCAGACTTTGTGGTCTTACTTCTAGAAAAATGAAAAAAAGATAAACAGCTTTTCTGGTGTGGAATACAATCCCCTCATTTAGCAGGAGTCGCACCACTGTATATTATGTAGTCTGTTTCTGCTAACCACTACAATACCGCCCTAACCCTAACCCCCTAACCCTAACCCATATTCAGACAACCACAACACATTCTTAAATAGCTGGGTTGTGAAAATAATGACATCATTATCATATTCAACACACAATTGACTAAAATGTGCCAACTACAACAAAGAAAAGGTCTCAGGTTATCTCTAAATGATCTCCCAGGTCTACTACATGTGAGGGCCAATATCTCACTCAGCAAGTGGTATGTACCTGTTATTAGAATGTTGTTCAAGTTATTTTATTGAATCACATGTGGCTAAAATGATGGTTGTTTTGCAATTCACCTTTTTCGTGTGTTTTGGGTTTTGTGTGTTAATCCATTCTGCCAGGAGGAAGCATGCCTTGTACTATTTACATCGAAATAGGAAGGTTATTTTACGTGTTTATGAGGACGGTTTGTCTTGGTCTTGTCCTTTGTTCTGTTGGTTCTTCCATTCTTATCTGCATATGAAGGTGTGTCTTGTACCATCAAAAGGAAGTTACAGTCTGTCCCGGTTTAGATTTGCACTGAAAGAGGCCGAGCTCTTGGGTGCTCTGTCTCCGTCAGGACCAGTGGGGGAGGGTCCTGGCTCAAAAGTGGCCAAAATGAAGTACGCTGACATGCTGCAATACCACCCCGGGCCTGTGGGGGTGGACCCAGAAGAAGAATTAGCCAATGCTAACATATAGCATTAGCAGACCTCTGGAAAACGTCTTTACAGGATGGACCAAAAGTTGTCTCTTGGCCCAAAGCTCTGTTCCACATGTGTGTCAATGCTGAGTGAGTGTTTTGGTCCACTCTAGTGTAGTCGCTGTGAATTTTTGAAGTCTCTCGTTCAAATGAATGGAGTTGCGCCGGCTGACGCATGCGCAGATGCGTTTTTTCACAATTTTCTTGTGGGCGGGACCACTCGCGGCCATTTTGGATTGCTCCAGTAGAGCACATTTTTTGGCCCATTAGTTAGAACAGAGGAGATAGACATGACTCTGTCCGTTAATATATACAGTCTATGGTACGGACACTTCTCCTTGACTGGACAACCCAGTGAGAAGAACGCCTGGACTATGTCTATTTTTGTGTGCGATTTCTTCTGGGTTCAACTGTAGTTAAATATCAGCATTAATATTACCACACTTCCCAGAACACGTGAAGGCACCATACCTTTCACGTGTTGTTGGCACATCTTCCAATGTTGCTGTTCGTGAGTGATATGTAGATTGTAAAAACTATTATTATTACTACTCCAACTCATTACCATAATAATAATTATTATTATTATTTTGATCCAGCCTGTGTTGAGCTGTGTACAATATGTGACATGGTACAAATCAAATCTATTTTAAACCTGTCTATTCCGCAGGTCGTCTCCTTATGCCGAGATTCCCCTGTGGGAGTTACGTGCTCCACTAATCAGCTGTTCCCCTGCAGCCTGCGTGATGAAGAGCCCTAAAACACAGGACATGACACGGCCCATTCATATCCGTCAAAGCCTTTCATGGACTCCTTCTCGGGTCTATACTGTGCTAATGCTAATGCCGGGCTAATGTGGCTTTTGCTGCCGTGGAGAACTCTGCTGCAGTCACTCTTTTTCTGTTCCGCTGAGCACATCGCATCCACACGCAGCAGCACAGATGGGGCGCACTGGGGGAAGCATCAGGCAAAAAAAAAGAGCCTAAAGACGGATGATGCAGTAAAAAAACACTTTTGCAGATGGAAGCTGGAGAAAAGTTTTAAAAAGGTGCAACTTTTCTGGTGATGGGTGTGCGCTGTGCCTGGGTCCATCTAAATGAGTGGATTGTGTATTGTAGAACACGAACCGTTTGCTTGACATTACTGGATCAGACAATTTCCAGTCCATTTTATAATTAAAATATTATGAGATGTTTTATTTGGCGTTCAAACAAGCTGTGTTTGATATATCTCACTATGTGTGTAATAAGTCTGTCCTGCGTTAGTTTCACATTGTTTGTTGAATTACCGAAGTAAATGGACTTTTTTTGATCCTTCCCAAACATTTCATTGTGTGGCA